GTCAACGGAAGCTGAATGTAGCGCTGAACTCGTACCAAAAAGCGCTAGATTTCTTTAAACTCATGGGCAAGCGAGAAGGAGCTAAAGCATGTAATAAATATGTGTTCTGCGGTTACATGTCATATCATAACGCATTAGCCTTACTCGCTAATACACAAAATATGTTAAAATCCAATGATCACTTCATCCGTCAGTGAGTTCATTTATGAGCACGGTGCCATTTTTTCATGTGACATTATTTTACGTCTTGCAGCAATGTCAGCATATGCCACACATATTTATCAATTCTTGGTGGCTATAACATGTTTCAAATCCTCGATACTTAGCTACTTACATGCGTTCTAAATCTCTATCAGATTTTGTTAAAACGAGCATAATAAGCGCTAACTCTATGTTGTGAGACTAGCAAACAATTCAAGAAAATTATGTAATTCGATTAATATGTCTGTGTTTAAGTAAGATGCCTAATGAATGATAGTTCATTACATCTCAGAGTGTGCCCTTGCCCATTACGCTTTCAGCTTGTGTTGCATGTATGATAACTTTGATATATATTTCACGCTACAAGAAGGATTGCTCGCCATTATCCTTGTTAAGTGATCATGTATTTCTATTTTTTATTTCTTCAGCTTGTGTTGCATGTATGATAACTGTGATATATATTTTTCTTAAATTATGCAAAAATTGGGTTTATTCTACTGCTACATGAATTTTAAATCGCAAGATAGACGTAGCTACACGTAAAAAGAAAAAAAACGCTAGATCTAGCTTGCATAATCATATGCATTATCACCACTATCGTTTCTGTTGTCATTATCAGGAAGTTTCAAAGGTAGTAGAGCTGATTGCGCCAAGCACCGAAGGCGGAGGCAATGATTAAGATGAGCTTTAGCATTTCATTGGTATGAATTAAACATGTAAGAGAGAGGTATGAATATGCATGATAGAATTATCTCAAGGTGCCAATGAGTGCCTCACAGTCATTTGTCATTCAGGATGTATGCTACGCATCCGGGAATTAATGTGCATTGTCAGATACTTTTTTACGGGAAGCTACATACGCGTTATAACTAGAGCAGACGACTAAGGTCTATTTTGCAGTGCACATTTGTCATTCTTGCCCCATCAATACCCTCATCGGAAATATACAAGAAATGCAGATGTAGCACAGCCATATTTTAATCACTGTTGCCTGCATTACCCTCATATTTATGTATATACTTTTGCCATTAGGGTATTACAGGTGGTATATTATGAAAATCATCATTATCGATATTGGCATTGTTATTATTTCTTTTACTTCTGTTATTTTTATTGTGATCGCTGTCATAATGATAATTATGATAATAATGATAATAATATTAGCAATAGTTGTTATTATTGTTATTATCATTATTACTCCTATGATCATCTCTATTATTGCTATTATAATTATTATCATAATAGTTAGTATGAGTATTATTGATGTTATCATCATCATCATCTTCATCTTTATCTTTATTTTTATTATCATCTTCATCTTATTTTATCTATCTCATCATCATCATCATCTTCATCTTCATCTTCATCATCATCATTATCATTATTATCATGATTATGATAACAGAATGATAATGATGATGATGATAATAATAATAATAGTAATAATGATAATAATGAAAATTTTTATACTGTTTAGTAGGAGTCATAGCAGTTCAAGTTTAACTATCATTATTATCATCATTACTATTATCATTGTCATTATTATTATTGACTGTTACTATCATTGTTATTAGTAGGAGTCATAGCAGTTCAAGTTTAACTATCATTATTGTCACTATAGCTATTATCGTTACCAAAATCAGCAGGGCCTACGTCAGGCGGCCAGGGCCCCGGGGCAAAGAACAGGGCCGGGCCCTCAGGGCCACATCCTTTTTAGGTGGGAAATGCCCATTTTTCCTTAAACTTTTATGTTAATATAAACTGTATGTTACTCGAACTTACAATCAAGAACTTGCAATCAAGAATATGTTATTAAAATCATATTTCAAAATTTCGCTAGTTTGGCAGAAGATTGAGGACATTTTTTGAACCACTTCCTTATTTTTAATCTTTTTTAACATTAACTGCTGTAACGTTGGTATAGTATAAATACACCTATAATTTGCTGTTTAGTTGTACTTGGCCTCAAATAAGCGACTACTGTAAATTTTTTACGGCCCGGGGTCGTTGCTCCTGCTCTCCCCTGTCGGCGGTTCTTACTATCAGTATCATTACTCATTATCGTTATATTGTTATGTATTATTTATTTATTTATATTATTATTATTATTATTATTATTATTATTATTATTATTATTATTATTATTATTATCATCATTATCATCATCATTGGCCAGAGAATTTTCTGGTGGGAGGCACAGGAGGTAACAACAATAAATCTGGTGGGCGCCCAAAGTAACAAAACTGACCACTTCATATTGTACAGTTACACATTGTTTATGTTTTGATCTTGCTGTATATTATATATCATTATATATTATTATATGTTCAATTAATTTATATTGTATATTAATATATAAAGGGTCAATGAATTGGGGTGGGGGGCACACAGGTGGCCAATCAGATTGCAGGGGGTGCCCCCCCCACACATGGTTATGTTTACTGACATCACCTATGTACTTGAGAAAGGTGATTTTAATGCAATTCTTCAAGTGTATATTTTTATTGCTTTGGCGGAGGTAACATTAGCATCGTTGTTATTATGATCACTGTTGTTGTTATTGTTATTGTTAGTATCATTATTGTTATTATTATTACTATCAGCATTATTGTTGTTAGTGTTGTTATTATTATTATTATTGTAATTGTTACAATTGTATCATTATTATTATTATTATTATTGTTATCATTATTGTTATTATCATTGCTGTTGCTATTGTTATTATTATCATTTTTATCATTGTTATTATTCTCTAACATCATTATTCGTATAATCATTATTATTGCTATTATATTTTCTGTCATTATTGTCATTATATTATTACTGATATTATAATCATTATCATCAGTATAATCAATTTTATCATCGTTATAGTTATTATCATTCTTTTTCTTATTAGTACCATTATCATCACTACTCTTATTATTGTTATTACTATTATTATAACTACTGCTGTTATAATCAGTATTATCATGATAACCCATATAGCTAATATTATTATTATCACCAGAATCATCATCACAATACCATCACCATCACACCACACCATTATCACATCATCATCATCATCATCATATCATCATCATCACCCATCAGCTTCAGCATCATCATCATTATCACCATTTCATCATATCATCTTCATTACATCCTCTTCTTTAGTCTAATTGTCGTGTTGCCGCAGACTAGTTGTTAAGACTTTAGCGACAGGTTTTAACTTCCCAGCTACAACTTTGAGCAGTTAGAAATGGGGGGCTTTTGGTGTTTCTAATTTTACAATTTCTGTTGCAAAAGAAGACCATGGGTTGGTTAGCGTATTTGATGTCTGTCCTTTTGAAAATGCGCGCCCACACACACACAAATACACACACACACATATGTGTGTGTGTGTGTGTGTTGGCGTCTGGTATATATATATATATATATATATATATATATATATATATATATATATATATATATATATAAATATTATATATAATATATATATATATATATCACATATATTTACATATCCGTAGGTATGGTAGAAAAACCACAATGCACAAACTAGATTTATTGAAGAAAGTGAGGACCCGAAGATGGAATCGAGGACTATTCCTAAACTGTTGTCTCACTTTCTTCAATAAATGTAGTTTGTGTATTGTGATTTTCCTACCATAGTATCAACACGGTAGTGTTTTTTCCATTCATACGTAGGTATGTATATATATATATATATATATATATATATATTATATATATAATATACATATTGTGTATGTGTGTGTTTGTGTGTGTGTGTATGTATGTATGTATATATATATATATATATATATATATATATATATATATATATATATATATATATGTGTGTGTGTGTGTGTGTGTGTGTGTGTGTGTGTGTGTGTGTGTGTGTGTGTGTGTGTGTGTGTGTGTGTGTGTGTTGTGTGTGTGTGTGTGTGTGTGTGTGTGTGTGTGTGTGTGTGTGTGTGTGTGTGTGTGTGTGTGTGTGTGTGTGTGTGTGTGTGTGTGTGTGTGTGTGTGTGTGTGTGTGTGTGTGTGTGTGTGTGTGTGTGTGTGTGGTGTGTGTGTGTGTGCGTGTATAGAGTTATACATATACAGATATAAATGCATATATGATATATATATATATATATATATATTATATATAAATATATATGTGTATGTATATATGTATGTACATATATGTATGTATGTGTGTGTGTATGTATGTGTATGTTGTGTGTGTGTATGTGTGTGTGTGTGTGTGTGTGTTGTATATGTGATGTGTGTGTGTGTATGTGCGTGTGTGTGTATGGATACATGCATATATATATATATATATATATATATATATATATATATATATATATATGTAAACTGTGTGTGTGTGTGTGTGTGTGTGTGTGTGTGTGTGTGTGTGTGTGTGTGTGTTGTGTGTGTGTGTGTGTGTGTGTGTGTGTATATGTATATATATATATTATATAATTATATATATTATATATGTGTGTGTGTGTGTTGTGTGTGTGTGTGTGTGTGTGTGTGTGTGTTGTGTGTGTGTGTGTGTGTGTGTGTCATATATATACATGTGTATATATATATATGTGTGTGTGTGTGTGTGTGTGTGTGTGTGTGTGTGTGTGTGTGTGTGTGTGTGTGTGTGTGTGAGTGAGTGTGTGTACAGAAATGGAAACGAAGATTGAAAAGGGGGCACGGACAATACACTGCCCGCTTGTGTTTAAAAGTTTCCCAGTGTCCCTCAAAATGCTTTGCTTTATACATATATTTTTCCGTTAATATTAATAGCGTGATTTAGATCA